GAACTCAAGGTACACAGGTAGGTGGCTCCTTTACACCTCAATAGCCTCTTTGTCTCCCGAACAACCTTGTATTATATCGTGTTACACCATTGCAAGGCGCGAGGTTCTCCTGAAAATTTGTGGGTTATTTCATATTACAAGTGTGGTCTATATACCGCGATCTCTTTAAGTTTTCAGCCGGGCAGAATAAATGTCTGTCTACGCGCGTACAGTATATTGAGTCTCCTTATGATACACTGGAAGCAAGTCTTTCTCATTGGTTGATAAATATTCCTACTGGCTTATCCAACGAACCCTTCCCGTTGTTAAAATCTAAATTTATCATGGATAAAACCAGCATATACTAACGAGGTCGGTCCTCCTTTGATTATTTCAGCCACCCGTGGCCAGTGTTGGTGGTCCACATTAGGGGAGCTTCATTTAGGCATTGACGGGCGACTGGCTTTACATATCATTCATGTGGGCGTACATCGCCGGTCGTATGCCAGTCCTGGCCCCTATCATATGGGTTGATAATGATTTCCCATCCTTCGAAAGTGCTTTAAAGGAGGCAGTTAAAATAAAAGATATATTCAATTTCCACATAAAATATCTATCACGGACATTCCCCTGGAAAGATATTCCTCGGACTAGATTAGTTGGGCAGATAAGATAATTCTCCATCGTGATCGCCTAGGCGATCCAGGGGGCAAACAAAATATTTTAGCTATTGGTTATTTTCCGACGTGTACAATGATCTTGCCTTTTGCGTGCCCTGTCCGTAGTTTCTTATATGCCTCGGGCACATCATCGAATTCAAAAACCTCGTCTATCACGGGCCGGACCTTTCCTTCTGAAATCCATTCACCGATCTGAGAGAAATATGCCGAATCGCTCTTCATCTGAATGAACTGGCATGAGTGGCCACCGGGCAAAATGACCCTTTTATACGTGGAGAACAGGTCTGAAGCGTTTAGTGACGCGACTCCGACCTGCACGAACACTCCATTCTTTTTTAAGAACGTTCCACACTGGGAATATAGGTTTGTATCTCCGACGTTGTCAACCACGAGATCGTAGATCTGCCCTCTTTCCTTCAGTGTCGTGATGACGTCTTGGTTCTTGTAGTCGATGACGTCGCGCGCGCCAAGCGCCCGGCAAAGCTCGACATTGGCTGTGGAGCAGGTTGCCGTGACTTCAGCAGATAAGACGTTGGCGAATTGCACAGCATAGGTGCCGACTCCGCCCGAGCCGCCATTTATGAAGACCTTCGAACCAGGTCCCAGACCTCTCGAGACGACGGACTGGAAAGCAGTCGTCCCAGCACATCCGACGGCAGCGCCCTGGTCGGGATGGACTCCTTCCGGTAGCAGAGCACATTCCGTGACGGAGATGACAATAAGCTGGGCAAGCGAACCAAACTTAGACGACTTTCCAAATGCTCCAAGGACTAGATCGCCTTCCTTGAAAGAGCTGTTCGACTTGTGCTTTGCGACGATACGACCGCAGAAGTCGAGTCCGGGTGTTGCCGGCCGGCCACGTATTATCAAGCTTGCAATCAAGCCCGACTCGGGCAATTTGTAGTCGATGGGATTGATGGCCGCAGTGATAACCTCTACGAGCAGCTGGTTAGGGAGGAGGGATGATTTGTCTGGCGCGGGAGCATCGTGGCTCAGAGTAAGTGAATTTTCGAATTTCTCGTGGATTTTGGTCCACTGCCAGGCTTTCATCGTCGACGCCATGTTTTACGAGTTCGCCGGGTGTTGACTCAGGACTAGAGCACGTATGGGTGGTTAACTAGATAGAATGACTTCATTGATACTATTTACAGCTGCTCAGAGTGAAAGAGGAGCGATTGCGCTCAGGTGCGGATGAACTAACAATATATAATTTCGGCAATGTTGTTCCCAAGCCTGATGAACGTGATAAATGTCTCCTAGGGGCTCAGCCGAGCCCCATAATCCGGGCCTCGCCTGGCTATAACTGGGCTACTACAGATGTCATGAGGCCGCAATGGCTGGTGTCGCGCAACTGACGACAACGGATGATTTCATCCAACGATAAGTCACCAAGATAATCAACGGCGACATGGTTATGCTGGCATTCATTTGATAGGCTTGAGCCATTGTATCGCCACGCTTGGCATTACATTGATCACACGATAAGTGGCTTGACATGTCAACCTTGTCAACGATCCTCAACTTATAGAATAGCTTATTGGCCAATTTAGAGAGACTTGAATACACTAGCACCGGATTGAGGTTCAAGCTGAACTTGGACTCAATATACCTGTCAAGTCTGTACGTCCTATCGCTTTTTAGGTACATACTTAACATCCATTGAGCCATCCGACTTACTTTAAATGAAGGTTTAAACTTAACAGACAGAAAGATAAAAAAGAGAAATCACTCGCAGCAAGTGCTGCCTATATACACGGACGGTTTTCTGACAATACAATGTCGCACGGGCTACGATCATATGCTTCATCACACCATCTGAAAGGGATAGAAGAGCCAGAAGCACTGGTCGGCTGACGGCCGGTGGCAATACGCACTTTTATGGCTGGTGGTTTGGCTGAATGTGGATGAGGAATGATCGTATAAATGGCGATATTAGCTTTAACAGTGCTAACAAGATTCCCAAAGTCAACCCAGCTTTGTACATGTCCCTTCAGTAACCACCCGCCATACTTACGTCAATGATGTTCTGCTTATGTTCACAGTTTCATTTCTGGCCTTGGGGCTAGCTGACTGCCCATTAGCTAGGTAGGTATTCAGCGTACTTTTTACGAAGATCCTTACTTTCTGTCAGGAATACGCAGAAAGTTGTGGTGTAGATAGATCAATAGGTACAAGATAGGTGAACATCAGCTAAGGGAGCAAAGGGGCTGTAACATGTATTAGGTACTACGTCCTGAGTATCTGTAGTTCTAGTTCCTCGCGCAATAACTACATTACTGTCCATATAATTATTTGCTGGGTATACTGCGATAGAACACGAGTTTCTCAGCCAAAATATTTGTGAATCAAGTCCGAATGGGTTGTCCTTCATCATTCCGATTTGTTCGGCTTAGTGCTTACCCCTGATGACTGGACCACTAGTGAGCTCCGCGGGTAGAGACAGCGGTGAGGATTCAATGGCTTCAGAATTATGGCAGACTTTAGGTCGAACATGGTACCCATGATGAGCTGACCACTCGTATTCATATATATGTGTTATGTCGTCTTTTCTCCCTACTTTTATGGCAGGATCATGAAATGGGCACAAGATGGAGGCATTGGCTGGAATGGCAACTGACCATGGCCGAACCTTCTTGAAATGCACCACATACTGGGGTTATTAGAGGCTACAAATATCGCAATTGTCTCTTTACGGAAGGTTTATCATAAACTGACAGTAAGATTTTGCCATAATATAACAAACTCACATCCAAGGTCAGGAATCTGATATTGTTAATAGCTAGGTAGTGATTAACAAAGTCTTTTTACACACACACACACACACACGGGCCATAGCTGGTTCACGGAGAACATCTTGAAATAAAACAGTTGGTAAAATACCTGATATTCATCTGCAGATGTGTGGATACAAAAGACTGACACCTAAACTATCTCTCCAAAGCGGCCGTTGTTACCAGTGTAGAATTTAACATTGCCGCTATCCAGCAGGCAGATTGACAATGAGAGAACCATTGTGTCGAGGTGATATCTCAGCGGATCAAAGGAGTGTAACCATCAGATATCCCCTAAATGCTCTAACCTATGTCGGCTGTCCAAAAATCCGGTTCTAGGGATCGGGTTATCTCTCTTATTTCTTGCCGGAACCCTTGGAGTTCTGCTGGCCACCTCGACTACCACTGGTGTTCTCATTTTTAGCCGCAGCAGACTGGGCTCGGGCTGCGAAACCGGCCGAAAACATGTCATGTCCGGCTTTGACCTAGCATTGTTGGTGAGCTATCTGCAAAAGTTGCGTGGTATGTGTAGAAAACCATAGGTTATACATACCTGGCCGCTTTGAACGCGCGAAGCATCGCTGGACGTCATAGCCTTGCCTTGTCCTTGTCCTTGTCCTTCTTGTCCGTTCGGCATCGTGACTATCACTGGATGGTTGGTGGAATGAGGTGGTGTTGGTTGACGAGCTGGGTTGGTATGAATATCTTATCGGTTGAGTATCGTCCAGGTCTGACTTGGTGAAGATACAGAGTCAAGTTGGCTATGGTCTAGGAAAGGGGATATCCAATGCCTTTTATATGCACGAGAATCTGAGATGAACACTATCAGATATGAAGCTCACACTATCGACTCTCCTCGCGATTAGTCACGCTTAAGATCACCTTCAAGCATGTTTGATGATGCAAAATTCGAGAGAGTTAACCAATTAGCTATACCATCCACCCAACCTTTCTAGTATTCTAGTGTGGAAACGTGCATGGGAAACACAAGACAGCATCATAAACGGAAAGCAACCTACAATCTAGCTCATCGTTTGGTATATCAAATCGTCGCTTGTCTTCACACTGACTTTGCTATGAGCTTGCATCCAGAGTGCCAAAGCCAATCTGACCAGAACACGTTTGACGTCAATGTCATTATTTAAACTAGAAACCTGTTACAATCCTGGCATAGTACGGGATCTTGCTTATCGAAATTACTGCTTTACGGCACCTATCCGCCCGTCCTTGCCTCCGCGTCTTCTATGCTTCACATTCGGAGATCAAATTTCCTCCAGTTAATAAGCGTCCCTCGGATTTGTCAAAACGTCCTTATTGATTGGTATGTACAAAAGCTGCATCATGGGGTTTGAATTCCGAAACGAGCATTCACTAGTTATACACGACAGTGTGTGGACGGTATGTGGCAGAAAGCGGCACGTAGCCTGCAGGCTTGTCGAGGTAACTAGATACCTGTTTCTAATCTTTCGTCTACGCTTAAGCCTCTAGGTCTTGCACCTGGGCAATAGGAGAGATGAAGAAAATGTTGTAGGTAAGTTTAATAGCTATGTACCTAACAATCAAGTAAAAAGTCCGGTTGGTGTAATGGCAACACACTCAGATTCATGATGCGCTGTGCCTTTGTCCTTGGTTGGATGATTGCCAGTCAGAAGGAACCTCTTTGAGTAATCTTGGTTCGAATCCAGGACTGGACGGAGATCTTATATTTTTCACAAACTAGACATCACCTGGGGTCATTTTCATCAGCAACATCTCTGTCCCCTTTTTCTTTCCATTTCCTTTCGTGTGTTAGTGATACCTACCTAGGTAGGTAGGTAGGTATGCGTACGACAACTCATAAAATAAAATACGGGATAGTGTAGCTAAGAAAGAGTTCATGGAAACTATTTCCTTCAAGATAGAGATAATTAGGTAATTAATAGCCATTTACAAAATAAAAAAAAGAGGGACTGGTGAAGGGATATTGATATAACGTCGGTAGGTTAGGTAGGTAGGTACCTACACTGATGATGGGCGAGTGGATACCACCAGTAACATGGATACTTAGGTGGTAGCAGAGTTGCTGTTACCCACCTTGTACCTGGTATTTGTATGTACCTACCTAGAGATAGGCGGGCATGTTACTTGATACGTCATCGTTCGCCCCACCAAAGGTGGTGGAACCCACCTCAATGGGTACCTAGAAAGGTTCACAAGGCGACAGCACGCTCGAATGCGACAAGCCTACAACTTCCACCAACCTAATCCTCGTACGCGTTCATCAGTCTATTCATACTTTTATCTACAAAGCTTCCCCCAGCCGACGTTTCCTCTACAACCGATTCTCTACAACCGATTCAACATGGTGGCCTTCAAGAGTACCCGGCTATTCGGAGGGGCACTGGTCGCCGATCTCCCCGCCAACTTTGCCGACGTCAGGTATGAACTATCTCGAGAACATCTCATGTCTAGCCTGACGCTCCATACACGGACAAGGAAAGAGAATCGTATATTTGTACATGCTACGACTAACATTCCTCGTTCCTAATCACACAGCACCCTGCGACAGGTCCCCGACAACCAAGAGGTCTGGATTGACAAGGATGGCTTCACGAGCATCATCTTCGACATTACCGAGCGCGTCGGCGGCCCCGGCAGCAGCCCCGAGATAGATGGTCGCTCCCTGACCGTCCATCTGGAGGACCTGGTCGGCGAAGATCTCGACAGAGTCAAGGTCTGGAATACCACGCCGACGATATTCTCGCATCTAGAGTACGTACGCTTTATATATATATGTGTGAATCTATAGACTAAACTACATGCTGATTGCGCAAACATTAGCGAGGACATCCCCGCATACACCCTGATTGCAACGCAGACCCCTCCATCAGCTCCGGCGGGTAGTCACTCGGGCGCTCCCGACTTCACGGCTATCATCCTGACGCTGGTGCGCCTCGAACGCGAGAAAACCGACCTCCTGATCACAATCAATGTGCCGCACATCAAGGGCGAGTACGACGAGGAGGACGTCGACTTGCAGCTCGGCAAGCAGGGCAAGCTGATCGGCGACGCCGTCGACTACGCCGCCAAGATCTGGGAGACCTTCAGGGTTAAGGACTGGAAGCTCTTCACCGAGGTCTGAAGGAGGGACGGATAAGTAAATGCAATGGTTGGGATATTGTTGCGTGATGTTACTGTAAGGTGTTGCCCAAGGCTAGGACAAAAAAGGCATAAGAGTGAGATATGTGCAAGGGAATAGGGAACAACATACCAATCTTGGGAGGTATCCTCTAAAGGTCTGGTCAGGGAGGATCCTTCCTATAAAATGATGGAAGCTTGTCATTTCTTTATGATGATAATTACGAGTACCTAGATAAAGTCTATGAGACTATGACCGCGAGGAATATGAACGAAAAATTCTTCCTTGTTTAAAAGTACTTCGGCTTCAATCGATTTCTTTGGTCTTCGCTGAGTTCTTAGCGCTTATGTTACTAGTGCTGGAGCGAAGAAGGACAGAGGGGTACGCAAATCAAAGACGTGTGCTGAGAAAGATGAAGGTATACTGATGAGATCAAGTTCGCATTGGTTTGACGTGAGCCAGATATATGGGTGGTAAGCGATATACATATATATGTGTGTATGTGAAGGAGGTCGTACGGGAGCTCATATAGGACCGCATAGTAAGTAGTATGGCTGGTACTCCTTATTCCAACAAGATGTATTCTTTTGTATTTTTGTTCTTTTCGTTCTCGTTGCAATACTTTAGGTTACTTTAGTAGGCCTCATGTACTTACTAGATCATTCATTATACGTCGCATATTGGTAGAATACGGCTCTGGAAGTCTGGAAGTCTGAGTAGGTACACTTCGAGTGATCGGTCTGTGTTATATATGGTATTTCAATAGCTGACGAGCGTAGAGGCCGCCAAAAATAGGAAGTACAAGTGGCTGTTAACACTCGATATGAGACGAAGATAGACAGCCCTTAGGTTTTGTGGTGAATGAATATCTAGTTCTATCTTGCTTGCGAAAGGAATCCATCCTCGCTCGTTATTAATCTAGCTGGATAATCCCAAGGGGACCTATTCCTTACTTACCTATATGTAGTTCATCGTTGCTGACATCTGCATGCTGCCAAACTTTCATGTCCTTCCCCCTTTTTTTCCGGAACAAAGGAGTCAACCAGACCAAAGCACATTCACCTGACCACGTCCATTCTGCCGGCACAAACATTTGCTCTCCCTCACCGTCCTCACCGCCTAGGCAAGAGAGCCCATATAAAAGCGCATCTCGTCGCCGCCCCATCCTTTCTATTTTTTCTCTTTCTTCTTCATACCCCCCAACCCGCCATTTTGGATACTTGCTTGTTGTTTTTTGTTTCTTTCTCTTTCACTTTGAGGTGGGAAGCAGGACGTGCCCGGCGTCTTGGGGGGTTTACGTGGTATGTCCTCTTCTCGCCGCCCTAATTTTTTGACCACAGACCGAATTCTTTCTAGTCACAATTTTTTGGAAACCCAACTTTTGCACTTTTCAAGTGCGGATGAACCTTTTTTTTTTTTTTTTTTTTTTTTTTTTCATCAAGATCCTAGCTTTTCTCTTAGGGGGCTTACTGGGACTTGAAGAAGAAAAGGAGCTGAAAGGAATGATGGCTAAGTCTACAGCTTTCTTCAAGATGCTATGCTCGTGTGTGTGTGTGCTACTGTCGTGCGTGGTGAGCTTCTGTCTCGTCCTCATTATCGATCGTGAAGGTTGGCGATGCCATTGCCTAGTGCTCCCACATATCTGCTTACTGTTGTATGTATCACTGTGCTATCTACAGTCTCTGAATACCTCTCTTTTTTTAACCTATGTGTGAAGCATATGCCTGCATTGTCTTCGTCATCTTTCTAGGTGTCTGACTATGGGTAGTTTTGTAATGCTCGTATCCATATACATTTTATTAGGAGCCTTGGACGTGCAACGCAGTCACATATCGCCTAAGGGACAAATAAACCACTTGCCATGTAAATAGCAACGAAGTGGACTCTACCTGGTATTTTATGTACAGATCAAATCTCGCACAACCACACTATCTCCACCTAAAGGGAATGCATCGCGATATCCCTCTTCATTTTATTCACATTATTTCTCACCCTATTATCTCCAGAAACCAATACCGATCCGCGCCATTGGGAATGCGTGGGATGGCAATTTGAAGTATGTGTAATCTCTGTATAATTTTACAGCAGATAACTCCCCGATTCTACATCTCCCGATATAGTAGCACCCAAATTTTATGTACCTTTCTGGAATATAGATGCCACTTGTAGTCTAGGGGAGCAATCGTTATGTAGACTTCCGCCTGGGCTATTATCTACGGCTTGATATCATAACAAACCATGTTTAAATGGGTAAGTGACTGACTATCCCATATTGGAATGCTCCCTAGTTAGCGACTTGGACTGGAGCCTGCTTGGTATTCTTGGAAATTCTGTCAAGTGTCTCCTGGTCAGGTTTACGCACACTGAAGAAGATTACCATAGCAAGCACCGTAGATGAAGACACTTATGTTTAAGTCACTTGATTTTTGTTTATCACAAAACTGAAATGTGGTTGACCTAACACCTTCAAGGCGATATCCCCTTAGACAACTCCACCAAGGCCCGAATCATGTCTCATAAACAGCAGTCATATCGTAATATAGTAATGAGAAGCACGATTGAATTCCTCTCCCTGATCTACTGCTAGAAAGAATTAGGAAGATGCTCACAGAGCATAGCAGTGATTCAGCATCACTTTATTGTGGATATGCACAATCACTCTTATCACAGCTTGAATTACCTGCTCGGCACTTTCTCGATAGGATTACAAAACCCAAGGCTTATGGCCAAATGTAGGAGACTAGCGTCGGATATCAAGACTTGCCCGCGCTGAATCGAGTGATGGTCGGACGGAGCTGCTCGAGCTTCTGCGTCTCCGAGCTCGTTGCTCATTTGGGTCTGTAGGATGGAGGCCGGTCGTCCTGGCGAATAGGTTCAGGATATCCGTCAATGTAACAACACCCGTCAAGCGACCTGACAGATGAGATGCGGAGGCTGGACCTGATGGGTAATGAGTACCAACAAGGGACGTCTGCGACGACGAAGGCGTGTTGGGCATAAGGACGGTAGGACCGAGCGATGGTGTTCCAGGCGCGGACGGTGATGGGGAGGCAGATTCCACTACCCACATCCTATGGGAGCGAGTAGCTACGAGCTTTGCAACGGTGTGTGCGAGTGTCGAATATGGGTTGACATGGAAGACGGGAAATGAATCCTTGCCTTTTTCTACACCCCGTTCGGAGAGGATGATAGTGATGAAATGCAGACAAGAATCATGTAACAGCGAAATACTTGCGGCACTTGTCAGGTGCTTGACATCGGCGGTTGATATATTGCCGAGGACATTCAAGCCGTTGTCGACGACGGCTACGCTTGTTAACCCCTCCTGGCTCATTAGATTGAGCGCCTCGGATAGAGGGCTGTCTGCGCTACAATAATGTTAATATCGCATTTAGCGATGGGACTCTTGCGAGTAACTTACTTCACAGCTATTATCTGTTGGGATCCTATCCCCAGATCGCGCATCAGCCTCGGGTAGAGATCGTCGATGACGCGAAAGTTGACACCCTCGTTCCAGAAGAATTCCATAAGCTTTAGTTGACTGAGAATACCGACGACTTCCGAGTTGTGATTGGT